TGGCTCGGGGCTGGGCCCACGCTGCGGCCTGGGCACGGGGGAGCGCGCCCCCGCCCCCCCCTTACAAACGGGCATTTTCTTCAGTTGCGAAATAGGCCGCGGGCCTCACTTCCCCGTTGCGGCAAGTTCCCCGGGGAAGCGGCCGTGGCGAGGAGGAGGGAACCATGGAAGGGGCGGCTCCAAGTCCCCCGCCCCCGGGGCCCTGCGTGTCGGGAGCCGGGTTGTCATCGCTCCTACCCCGCAGCTGAGCCACCTGCTTCCCTCCGCCCCTGCTTGGTGCCAGTGCTCCCATGCAGATGGGCAGCTGGCTTGTTCTCAGCCATGGGATGTTTCTAGGGAGTGATGTTTTCTGGAGGAATCAAGCAAGTTCACCTCCCAGAAACATGCGAGTCCCATCGCCTTGCACCTGGTGCATTGAAATAGATTTCCTAAGTTATCCTGGTGCCCAGATTGGTTATTTGGTTTGTTAACAACGTGGCTTCTTTCCGTATTAACATAGGCAGTGTTTTATATGCAAGCAAATGACAGGAGTTTTAGGTCCAGTTTTGTGGCAGTTTTTGATGTCTTCAATTCTTGGTCTTGCTTCCTATTTAACATGCAGGCACTGCGTTCTAGTGCAGTGGTTCTCAACCTTTCTTAGACTGGAGGTCCCCCTTGGAAAATGTGAGACCTTCGTTTTCACTCAACTTGTGACTACAGAAGAGTAATAGGGCAATTCATCTGTTGCAAAGAACTAGGGAAAACCACAACAGGGCAGACGGTTTTAGACACTCTAGATTACCATTCAAAATCCATGGGTTTGTTTTGTGAATTGTGTTTGTGCATCTAACAGTGCTAGAGGGGCACCCCTGGAAGGATCCTGGGGTCTTGTTACCCTGGTTTAGAATTGCTGTTGCGTTCCAATAAACTTTCCTGTTAAGCTAGAATAGGTGTCATCTCACAGGGGCGGGCAGTTATTTTGAGTGGAGGGCTGCTTACTGAGTTTTGGCAAGCCATCAAGGGCCACATGATAGGCAGCCAGGGGAAGATAAATATTAATTTTCTAAATTTTTTAGGGGCCTTGCAGGCCAGATAGAATGGCTTGGCGGGCCACATCCAGCCCCCGGGCTGCATTTTGCCCACCCCTATACTAGAGAGTTTCATGATGAATTGTTTTACAACTGTTCCAAATGAATATTGGTTTGAGGCTATTGTTCTGGTGAAGGAGTAGAAACTGTAAATGGCTTGGAATATAATGGTATATCAGTGAGAGAAGGAAACAAACTGAGTATATTTCTACATTTGACTTCTTTTTTCAGAGTTAGTCACAGTGTCTAGTTTTGCACAAGTGGGTAGCAACTGTAGAACGAGTTATTCTGATTGAGTTATATTATGACAGCTGCTTCAGAAAGTTATACTACCAAATTCCTTTTGAAATTCTGCCTTTTCTTTATTTTGTAAAGTCAGTATTACAGCCAAATTGGTATTGCAGTGCAGTACTAATGTATCACAGCAGTGGTTTAGAGGAAGTTGGTGTGTGTATCTACTACAGGCAGAATTTCATTCCACTACAGGTACTTCTGACTGCAGTTGTTTCAGAGGTACATTCTTAGACAGTGGTGAGAATTAGATGGCAAATTTGATAAACACTGATTGTTTAAAGAGCATCACCCTAATAACACTGTGCTTTTTCTTTCCC